TCTTTCACATCTTTCACCTTCTTGGCTCTAAGCAAAACTTCCATTGACTTGGCCCATGGCATATAATTCTCACCGTTTAGTTTGATAGAAGTCATTTGCACATTTAGGTAATCATGGGGAATCGTAACACTTGATGTGTTCAGTACTCTCTCCTGTGGTTCCCATGGGTTTGAGAAAATAGAATTCTTTACTCACTAATATCACATCGCACTACTTAACACCCACCACACTACACCACTAGACTAATTATTTGCTGAAAACATCTATTGTCACAGATTTCAGCAACAATAGTCACAGCTGTCACTCGCTTTCAGCAGCAAAACCCACAAGGAAAAATACCTCTTACACATACTTGTAGATCAACAACCAATTGTGTTTGATTTCCACTGCAACACTAATCAAACCAACCAACCATCACACAGAAACCAAATATGTGACCAAACTCCACTACAAAGCTCTCTTCGAGTCATCAATTAGAGGGTTTCTAGCAACCCACTGAAACAGCCACTTCAGCACCCACTGGAGGCATGAATACCTCCTAAATAGAAAAATGATCACTTCGTTTTGGTGTCTCCTTGATCTTCCAAGTGGGCGATGAGTTATCTTCAAAACAGTAGGGTGAGAGGTGGTGAAGAAATTCTGGGTTGATTTCTGGGCTGATTACCAGTGTTTTGATACCATGTTCTTGATTTGATGTGCACTGGTTTTAGTCCTAGGGTAAGAGAGAAAGAGAACAGAAGGATAAGAATAGGAAGAGAAGAGTCCCAAGGAGTTCCAAAGGATTTTAGACCAATAAGACTAGTGGGAAGCCTTTATAAGATTATAGCAAAAGTTTTGGTTGGGAGACTAAAAAGGTATTACCTTTGGTCATCTCACAACATCAAGGTGCTTTTGTTGAAGGGAGACAGATTATAGACTAGGCTTGGTGTGCAAGTTGGACTTAGAGAAGGCCTATGACTTTGTGGACTGGTCTTTTCTTCTAGAAATTATGGGGAGAATTGGGTTAGGAGAGCGGTGGAGGATGTGAATGAAGGGATGCCTAAGTTCAGTGCAGTATTCGATCATGATTAATGGTGTGGCTAGAGATTACTTTCCAGCAAAAAGAGGGTTGAGACAAGGGGATTTCCTTTTTCCCTTCCTTTTCACTTTAATTGTTGATGTTCTAAGTAGGACGATCATGGAGGCTGATCAGAGAAACCTACTTAGAGGATGGAGGATAGGAAGACTTAAGGTGACAGTTAGACATTTGAAGTTTGTAGATGACATTATTTTATTCTGTGAGGGAGGTAATCAAGAGAGTATAAGAAATCTGTGTGATCTCATTGGTTCCTTTGAATTGATTTCCAAGTTGAAGGTAAATTGGGGAAAAATAGTAGTAGGGATTAACTTGGAAGACGAAAATTTGAGAGTGCTAGTTGAGATTCTGGGGTGTGAGGTTAAATAATGGCCGTTGGAGTATTTAGGGCTACCTTTGGGAGGGAGTCCAAGATCAAAAGTCTTTTGGAAGCCAGTGGTGGAGAGGTTTACAAGGAAATTGGCACTATGGAAGAGGAATTATTTATCTATAGTTGGGAGAATAACCTTGATTAGAGCAACTCTAGCAAACCTACTAGTCGGTTTCTTATCAACCTTTAGAATTCTAGCTAGAGTAGCCGTAGAATTAGAAAAACTTATGAGGGATTTTCTCTGGGAACCTGGGAATGTAAAGAGGGATCACCTAGTAAAGTGGGAACAAGTCACCCAAACAAAGGAAAAGGGAGGTTTAGGATTGGGTCACATGAATACTTCTTTGTTAGGAAACTGGCTTTGGAGGTTTCCATTGGAAAGAGATAGGCTGTGGCACAAAGCGATAGAAAGCATTCATGTGCTGATGAACAATGGCTAGGATGCAATTGTAGCCCCCACATCATCCTTGAGCTCTTCGTGGAAAGCAATACCAGAGATACATCCTATCTTTTTTAATCTCCTTAGATTTGATGTGGGTTGTTATTCTAGGGTGCTCTTTTGGGAAGCTTTAGCTGGGTGATATTCCTTTTTGCTCTTTTTAACTTGAACTTTATTCAGTTTTTAACTACAAGTTACAACCTAAATCAAATTGTCACTTTTTCTCACTCTGGACCTCTGGACTGAGTTGGGATTTTGGGTACAGAAGGGGCTTGAGGGATAATGTAGCGAGTTCCTTATTTGTTTGCTTGATAAACTTAAGTCAGCCTTCTTGGTTCAATCTTTGGAGAACACTAGAGTTTGGTTTACTTCATTTGATGGCACCTTTACCTGTGCTTCTTTTTTTAATACTATTGTGCAAACTCTTGTTGGGGGTGAGAATTTCCTGGTGAAAGAGGTTTGGAGCAAGCCCATTCCACCAAAAACTCAAGTTATGTTGGGAGGTTTTTCTTGGGAAGGTGAACGCCTGTGACATGCTTCAAAAAAGGAGGCCAAATAAATGCCTCTCCCCTAATCTGTGCATTCTTTGCTCTGCAGATGGTGAATCTCTACCCCATTTATTGATCCATTGCACTTTTGTGCTCTTTGTTTGGGGATCTTTTTGTTCTCTCGTTGGTTGTAGGTGGAGTATTCCCCAAGATGTAGTAAAATTCTTCAACCCAAACTTTCTAAGGCAGTCAACAAAAAGAGGAAGGGTTATGTGGATATCAGTTAGGGCAGTGGTGGTGTGGACTGTATGGGAGGAAAGGAATGCAAGAATTTTCAACAAAGTATAGGTCAAAAGATCTAGTGGAGGCCATAAAGATAAAAGATGCACACTGGGTAAAATCACTTCAGCTCTTTCAGAGTTTCTTGATTATTGATATAGTAAGTGAGTGGAATGAAGTGGCACACACTGCTGAGAAGAAAGAAAGAAAGGTGATGGAGTGGAAGCCCCTAGGTCCCAACAAAGTCAAGCTGAATTTTGATGGGAGCTCTATAGGAAACCCGGGTCTGGCAGGCATTGGTGGTGTGATCAGAGATTCCTCAAGCAAAGTATTGGCTATGTACTTAGGACCTTTAGGGGAAGGTGATTCTTTAAAGGCTGAACTATTAGCTCTGCTGCAGGGGTTAAAACTTGCTAAGCAAGCAGATCTTAAGAACTTGGAGATAGAAGGGGACTCAAAAAATAGTGATATCATGGATGAATTCAAGCGGTAATGCTCTTTGGATTATAGACATCCCCTAAGGGATATAGTAAGCCTAGCAAGGGAAGTCAATGCCTTGTTCACATGGATCAGGAGAACTGCAAATGGGATGGCTGATTCATTAGCCAAACGGGGAGTTCATAGGCAGCAACTTTTTCTGGGTTTTATTGAACACTTTGTGGTGCAATGTTTGCTTTCTACTTGCTGTAATTCTGTAACTGATTCTTTTAATTAAATAAAATTTTCATTTTTCTGATAAAAAAAACTAAAGGAGAAAACTTTCAGTTCAGCTAGAGAGAATTCAATCACTCTCCCCAGCCAACCAGATCTTATTTATATGTTTGTAATAGAAATACAAAGACACTTGTGCCCCTAATTAAGTACGGGACATATTACTTAAACTGAGACATAATAGACATAACACCCATTCAATAAAATAAGGTATAAAGATCAAAATACCCCCTGATTGCCATCTCTAACAAGTAGTCTTTCAACCACTCAGTCATGTTAGTTTACCCCTTGTTTAGGCTAAGGCATCTACCATTCTGTTTGCTATCCTTGGGTCTAGTTCTTTAAAGTTCATATCCATTCACGATTGTCTTATATCCCTCATATTGGTGCAGAATTGCCATGGAACAGTGCTGCCATGTATCAGCCAGCTCATCACTACTGCAGTCTCCCTCCACAATCAAGATTAATATTATCAATTTTTTGATAAAAAAATTTCTGATTTATAAAGGGAAAACGCATAGAGTACTCACCTTCAAGTTTGGCTATCATTCTTGAATTCATTCAGAATGGAGATCTAATGGAAAAGGAGTGATTAATTCCACTTGTTAACTATGTTAATTACTCCATATTTTCTTTGGAAAATAAGAGTATTCCTTTTCTCTCCTGACAGTATCAATTGAACATACTGACAGAGGAAGCATGGACTGTGGGGTTGGTCCCCAACAGCTGGAGGCTGGGGGAACCAATATTAGACCACCCCACAAAATTCAACGGGATTAAACATTGATGTTGAAAGGGGAAGAATTTGCATAACTAGGATATAAACTTAAAGTAGAGAAGGTGATTTACCATTTTAAAACTAGCCAGACACATGAAGTATGCAATATATAAGATTTTATTCTTCAAATGAGATGATTTCAGCATGCCATCCAAAGGAAGAAGGAAATCTTGGTTTAGACTAGGATCTCAAAATAAAATTGGTTGGAGGAGAATTCAATGAGTTGAAGAAAAAGCATGCAAATGAAGTCCCCTTGTGGATTCTGACAAGAATGGGCACTTGTCCTTTCCAAGACATATAAATCTTCATCAACCTAAACTATCCATGTGATGCAGGATAGACTTGCAAAGTAAGAATAAGAAGATAAATAACCTAGGAAACAGTACTTAAAATAGCCATTAGGAATTAACACTCAATACCTTCTTGAAGGAAGCAACCATCAAGAAAATTAGAAGTGGACAACCAAACATTATTTTCTGATTTTAAAAAAGGAGGCTCTTACATAACTCTTTACTTGCTAATATGACTCTTAATCTAATTGGGAAAACCAAACCCTAGTGCAATTAGGAAAACCATCTGCTAATACGATTAAGAAAACTACTAATAACTAAAACAATAAAAAGATGGATTTTTTTTTTCCAACAGTAGTCCCTATGAGGTTATCTGGATTTCATGATGACTTATTCTGGATAATAACTATTACAGATTGGGGGAGGGGGGGTGGAAAGGTCCATTTATATATCTTATGTTTATTGCATTCCAACTTTCCAAGTGGGGAAATGAATTTCATTATGCTTCCCTTCTTGTTATTGATTAAATATGTTTGCTGAATTGAGTTTCTTTTTCCAATTTGTGTGCAGGTTGGAGCTTAAAAATAATAAACACCTTTTTGGAGAATTTCTGGAATTTAAAGGAAAGCAAGATGATATCCAGGCTTTGAGAAATATCAAGAGATCAAAAGTCAGTCAATTGATTATCCAGAAGTTCTCTATGCTTGGTTTAGGTAACTCAAAATGCATTCATTGGCCTTCCCATTATATGGAAACAATAACAAAATAACATGGAATATATATATATATATATATATATTATGGGGGAGGAGCCCAAGGCCCTCAAGGCTATATTTGCATCCTTATTTATTGGTACAGGCTGTTTTCTCGGTCTAATGGATTGTGATGTTTGATTAATTTGAGACTCGACCGATGTCTCCTGGGTAGTCTTCGGCCTTTAGGATTGCAGTCTATGATATAACAATACCTGTACATGGTTACTGTATTGGTGTTAGAGACAGTAAGTGCCTATATAAGTATGACATGGGGTACTGCATGGACACTTACAGATAAAATCTATAGCATTAATGCTTTTTAATAAGTAAATATACCATAGTTTTCAAGGCACCAAGGCCCAAGGGGGGGTGCCCTGTTGCCTAGTCACCTAGGCATTGCCTAGGCAATGGATTATTTTAAGTAAAAAACATATATCCTAGGGTAGTTACCTAGGTTCCATAACCATATTTCCTTAATAATTATCCATAATTTTCATAAGTATAAACTTCGTGTTGCAATATAGAAAATCAACATAGTCATAAGAAAAAGAAGAAAGAAAAGAAAATTCAAAAAATATGGGGGCTGAACCACAAGTTCTTCCTTACTTATTGGTTCAGGTTTTGAAGTCTTTGAGGGTTAAATACAACATTTAACAATGTTTGTGTTGATAAAACCCTAACAAATAAGAAAACAATAAAATGAAATTCCTCCATTCATGTTTCCTTGAGAAGAGGTAACACTAGAAGAGGCAGAATCTTTAGTAGCCATTAGACGTGTAACCACACTGCCAAACTCTCAAGAAAACCAAGGTTCCACACACATCACACCACAGCCACTAAGCTGTAACAGGTCAAACTGACCAAAAATGAGGCTATGACAGCACAAACAAGAAGACAAAAGGATTTCAGTCAAACTTCATCGCACAAAACCCAAAAACCAGCATACTCAGCAATAATAGGGGTTTGTAAACCCTAGATTGACAGTCACTTTGCCCTTATTCTTAATAAAAGAAGAGATACATCCTTGCAAAACTCCAAACTGTGACATTCACAACCCACTACACTTTTTTCCAGCTTGAATGAAACAGGTACATACCTGGTGTTAAGGGCCCACGAATAGGATCTCGTCACAGGTCGGTTAACGGGGAAAACTTCTTGTTTTCCCTTGTTTCTCCCTTTTCTCGAGGAACCTATCTTTAGCGCCTTTA